ACCCAAACCCAAACCCAAACCCAAACCCAAACCCAAACCCAAACCCAAACCCAAACCCAAACCCAAACCCAACCCAAACCCAAACCCAACCCAAACCCAAACCCAACCCAAACCCAAACCCAAACCCAAACCCAAACCCAAACCCAAACCCAAACCCAAACCCAAACCCAAACCCAAACCCAAACCCAAACCCAAACCCAAACCCAAACCCAAACCCAAACCCAAACCCAAACCCAAACCCAAACCCAAACCCAAACCCAAACCCAAACCCAAACCCAAACCCAAACCCAAACCCAAACCCAAACCCAAACCCAAACCCAAACCCAAACCCAAACCCAAACCCAAACCCAAACCCAAACCCAAACCCAAACCCAAACCCAAACCCAAACCCAAACCCTTTCGCCATACCCAAACCCAAACCCAAACCTAAAAACCCAACCTGAAAAGGTGGAAATCTGGAAAAGGACCACCTATTGAAACTTTACCAAAATGATGTAGATGATATATAATGATATAGAATTCAATTTCATATCATAAAAATCAGAAATGGTACCATGGAAAGGTAAATGTTGATATTTTATGGTTGACTTTAGAGAAAGACAAGTCAGACCAACTCTATCAAATACATCACTTCAATCAACAATATATATATGAAAATGCTCCATTCGATGAGTAGAGATAGAATATTAAGTTTATTTTCACTTTCATATTCATGATTTCAACTCTAACATACCAACTAGTCAACTGTGTACATGGATGAAAATCTGGAAAATGACCACTCTATGCAACTCTACCACCATGTTCAACATCTCAAATAATGTATATGGTTCAATTTTAAGACATTTTGGTGAATATTCTATCTTTCAGTAAGGTAAAGGGTGAAATTTCAAGGTTGTCTTGGAAGATCAGGAGGAAATCTTGAATATATATAGAGAACCACATCGTCAATCTACAAAATACATATCAATCGGTTGTAAATCAATAGTACATCTCGAAAATATAATTTATTTTATGTTTTGAAATATCTCC